GAAGAAGCTCTATTCTACTGAATACAAACAAATACCATTTCTTCTCTACTGTCCACCAATGCCACACACTGTTCACATTCTGCAGCAAGTTCTATCCACCTATTATCCATTTTGCCTGCATGTTACAACTGTTCATTTAACAGCTGGGAACCTGGAGAGGTGTAATGATCAGGAGGTTGCTGTCACTGCCCTTACCCTTACAAGCATGCATCCTCCAGATGGTCTTTAATTAGGCTAGGAAGATGGGTAACACAGAACAAGCAGCACTAGAATATTTTCATCCCCCAGGAAAAGCAAAGATCTAAGGATTGAAGAAGGATTCCGTATTCATTTCAGATCTGCCTATAGCGGGTAGACCAGGGAAGTGAGAGGGCAAACACTATACTGGTTAAGATAATATATTATCTTTTCCATAGTGAATGTTAATATGCAAGGAGACATTAACTGACATTTCTCGAAATAGCTATTTTCAGATGGGGCATTTAACAACGGATACGAATATGCTGGATATGGCAGGCAAATTGACAGGGAGGAAAGGAAGGAACCAAGGAAGAAAGGGAGGGAGCTGGGGAAAAATAAACTAAAAGAAAAATCTGAAAATAAATCTGATACATCTTTTTGAGTACAAGACCCAAGTCTATCTGACAGGCTGTTCTTCTGATGTACTACTAATCACATTGGGAAATACACTGATTAATTATACTCATTTTTTATTGAGACTTTTAAAAGTCTCCTAGTACTGATAATAGAACAGAATGCATAATCACAAAAGCTGAAAATGAATCAACAGTTTCCAATGCTGCTAAAATGTGTACTCTAGCACAAGGAGCACACTCTAAAAACCTTGAGTGTTCGTAAATGAGGATGAAAAAGTTAATGATTTTTCTTCAAAGTCACAATGAAAGCAGCACAACTACCACTTAAATAATAAGAAAATAATTTTTCTGCTCAAGAACCATGGGCAAATATAGGACAATCAAAACCTCAAGATGCTGCTAAACAAATGAAATGAACAGACAGCTGCCACACAGAGAAAAAGTCTTGATAGGCCTTCAGGCTTTGTAACAGGCAGACAAAATAGGCTGGCAAAGGGGCCACTAGGCATTCGTTCATTCTCTCTGTGTCTCTTTTCTTCTGCCATGGCGCCTTCTTGAAGTGGGCTTAACCTAGCAGATTTATCCCTATGGGAGGTATAATGAGAAATGCTTTCACTGAGGAAGTTTGTACACTGTGGCTTTAAATCACTGGGAAATCCTGGGAAATTACTACAGTATGGATGAAGAAACTACATGTCCAAGGTCTGTACTATGAATTATGAAGAGCTCTCACGGTTTTCTGCTGCTAGCCAGAACTAAGATGCCCCACAAAACTCAAAATATTTGTGAAACCCTTGAAAATTGAAATGACACCTGTACTCCTAAATTTGTACTCTTAAATCCTCAGTCTGGCATGTTACTGTAAAGAACTGAGCAACAGCTTAAGATAATCGCGTACACTAGTTTTTCCTTAAGGAACAATATTTTAATTACACAAAGAAATTATTAGAGCTGCTTTAGCACTAGATAATGTACATGTGCACATACACACCATGTACGACATCATGTTAAAAGCTTCTATTTGCATCTGTACACCACTGCATACATGCATGTATGACAGCTTGAATTGGCTGTGGCTTCCTAAATATTCTAAATGCAACACTGTAAAGCAGCCTTCCCCCAACAACTTCTAGCATCACCGATGGGAGTTATAGTTCAAGACGGCACCCTGCGAGAGGGCACCAGGTTCAGGGAAACTGGTATACACCATATATCCTCCCATTTATTTTTGGGATTTATTCAACAATTTCCCAGGATGCCTAGGCATTCTAATCTAAGAAGCAGCTTTTAGTCATAGGTTAATGGCATAAAAGGGAGATGTACCTGATTGACTGAGTGTCCTCTAATAGTTTAAAACCGGGTAGCATCCACTCTATGACATCTGTGGCTGCGTGTGCATGATAAAATCCTGGTCAAATAAGCCAGCATATATACAGTTGATATGCATCTCCTTTGCCTCTCCCTTCACTTGAACGGTGAAACAAACCAGATAATTTCTCCTTTGGTCTGAATAAGGGAGTATGGCTAATGGCTTCCAAACAAGCCAGACTCAGAAGCTAGTATTAAAGTACTCTGTGATTTACAGACACTGCTTGGTATAGATGATAGCTCTTTTGGAAGGTAAGAGAACAGAGATGGCTTCTTGCATAAACAACTCTTTTTACTTTTGTGTGCGCACAAAACTGAACTTTTAAACAACGCAAATCCAGTTAATTCTTTTCCTCAACCCAAACTCTTGATGTTGTGACTAGCTGAGATCCCGCTTTCAGTAACTAAAGTACATATCTGGGTTGCAAGCTATTGATTCTTTATTCTAGAATGCTAGGTGTAAAACCTGGTATTTGTAGCACCAAGGAGAGATTTACCCAGCCTGCAAGATCCATCTGCAAACATGCTACAATATCTAGCCTAACCTTTCTGTACTAAAAACAAACAAAGAAAAACCCTTACCTCCTGCTTTATGTAACATCTTGTCTGGACAACTCAAAAGCTTGCAACAAATTTGCAATGTTTTGATAGGTCCAATAAAGTTGTTGGCCAACCGGATTTTGAAACTTCTTGCTTACATGCTAACACAGCTGCCTTTGGCTGTTAACATGCCATTATAATTCAGTTTGTTACAACTGCATTTCAACTAGCCATTTACCCAATAAAATGACAACATATAAGCACAAAAGGTTAAGATTACCTCATCTGGCTCTCAGCAGCTACCTCTTATGAAGAGCTAGAAATTACAGCACTTTAATTGCACAGAGTAGGACTTGCTGCATTTGCTTCACTGAATACTTGTGTTGTATTATGGAGGATGGCCGTGCCCTCTGGGCAATAATGGGACAACACGAAGCCTTTCTACTGAGAATGGAGGGCAATTTGGAGAACTCCCCAAGGCAGCCTTCCCCAACCTAGTACCCTGCAGATGTTTTGGACTAAAACTCCCATAATCACTGACCAGTGGTCATGCTAGCTGGGGCTGATAGGAGCTAGAGGAGGAGGAGGAGGAGAAGAAGAAGAAGAAGAAGAAGAAGAAGAAGAAGAAGAAGAAGAAGAAGAAGAGGAGGAGGAGGAGTTTGGATTTGATATCCTACTTTATCACTACCCGAAGGAGTCTCAAAACGGCTAACATTCTCCTTTCCCTTCCTCCCCCACAACAAACACTCTGTGAGGTGAGTGGGGCTGACAGACTTCAGAGAAGTGTGACTAGCCCAAGGTCACCCAGCAGCTGCATGTGGAGGAGCGGAGATGCAAACCCGGTTCCCCAGATTACGAGACTACCGCTCTTAACCACTACACCACACTGGCTCTAGAGTCCTAAACATCTAGAGGGCAATAGGCTGGGGAAGGATACTCCAAGGTGTTTGTTCTTCTAGCAGACCAGAGGTGACCAAGGATTGTTTTTTTGCCCTTGTTCTCTGGAGCTGTATGCTTAATTCTCAAGGGAAATGAACAAAAGAAAATCTCTTTTGTAAGCACACAGCTCTCTCTCTCTCTCTGCAGTTCTATCTGGATGAGGAGAATGCCTTGAAGTCAGTGCTAAGAAATTTGACTCAGTCAAGACCTTGCCGTGCATGTGAAAATAAGAGAATTATTTAATATTATGATTACAGGGAAACAGCAAGTCAGCAAGTAAAAAAAAAAATCTTTAGGCAAAAGATAACTCATAGGTTATCATTTCTGGAAGTGCCAATGGCCTAGTCTACCATTGACACTTTATCATAAACAATACTTTTAAAATAATACCTAATTCAATGGATCTTTAAACATGTAAAAGCAATTCCTTTGAGCATTTTGGAAAGACAAATAATAACTGAAACTAGAGAAATCAACTCTTCTGTTTTTCTTTCAGTATCTACAAGTTCAACAACACATGAATCCACAAGCAAGTTTGGCCAGAGGCTGCTACCCAGAGACCAATTACTTATAACAAATGAGAGAGTTGGCGTAAGTCTCCATTGGCTGTTGTGTGGCTTCACAATGTGTAGCTGCACAAATCAGGGCCTCTATCTTCCAGTATTGTCAGGATTGTGAATACTTTGATTACAAAGAAACTTGAGAGTGTTGCAAACAGGGATTTTTGTTGGAGGCATTTGTAAGCTGACAATTAGCTGGAGATCCTTTGGTAAAAAGAATGTGACACACACACTAGAAATCTCACAAATGGGAACACAGAAGCAGTGCATGTAATAGTGTGTTAAAGATAGTGGGCAGGATTCACCTAACCAGCCTCATCAACAGAAGCCCTGTTCAAGGACTTCCACATGTACAATTTGGCTCCTGCACTCCCAGAATTTTGTATATATATATTTTTTTGGGGGGGTGGCAGTAAAACCACCTGAACAACATGAGGAGGTAGGAGAGAGAGGAATCATTCCACCTGACAAGTTGTAATGCTTGCACAGATAGAATGATTGGAAGAGCATGATGTTGAATTCCACCCAGTAAGTACAGCTAGGAGAGTTTTTGTTTCCAATATTCAGATATAATATGGAAAGTAGTTTGACTGAGAAGCCAACCAGGAGCTCTAAGTTTCTTTTCAATGCATGAGAATTGAGGAGAGGGGAGAAGACAAGAGTCAAATGTTTGTACTTGCTCATACACATTATGATAAACCAGTTAATGGCTTGGTACAGATTAATGGCATGTCCCTTTCGCCTTCCAAATCTTTTAGTTATAAACATGGTGCAATAAACCTGGCTGAACATATAATGACGTAAAATTGTGCACTAAAGAGCTACATCTTTTGTTAAAAACCTCTTTGAACAGATAATATCTGCCGGCATTGTTTTCTAAAAAGTACCTGTCAAACACTAATTAAAATATAGCTCAGTTTAAGCTTGCAACTTTGTGTTCTGCTCCGTCATTGAAAATGAGCTTCCAAGAAAGGATTTGTTCAGCATAGCAACTCACCTTCCAGAAGTTATCAACTTTGCCATAGACAAGCGACTGGTCCTGCCTTTTAATTACGTTGAAGTGCTTGATGTCACTGGAATTCAGATATTGTTCCACAACAAAACCAAGGAAACTATTGTCTGGAGTGTGAGCTGTAAACCAATCGACCAAACAAACAAAAAGTCAGCACTGCATCATTATGCATCACTGCAACACTGTCATAAGTCTTATCTTCTATTATGCATTTTCCTAAGGATATTGTCATGCTGCAATTCACATGGCTGTTGACAGGCAGCACTGTGAGGTAAAGTAAAGGTAAAGGGACCCCTGACCATTAGGTCCAGTCATGGCCGACTCTGGGGTTGCGGTGCTCATCTCGCTTTATTGGCTGAGGGAGCTGGCCTACAGCTTCCGGGTCACGTGGCCAGCATGACTAAGCTGCTTCTGGCGAACCAGAGCAGCACTACTTGCACTTTGATGTGCTTTTGAACTGCTAGGTGGGCAGGAGCTTTGACCGGGCGGGGATTCGAACCGCCGACCTTCTGATCAGCAAGTCCTAGGCTCTGTGGTTTAACCCACAGCGCCACTGTGAGGTACAGCATGGTAAAAAAAAAACTGGGCTCAGAACTCCTGAGCCAAGGCAGAAGCATAAGGGGCTGAGGAGGAGGGAGATAGAATGGCAGGAGGTGGCACAGGCCAGAGGATGGGTGGCCCAGGTAAGTGAGCAAGATGTTTGGCAAGGTGTAAGGAGAAAAGGGAAGAGGAGGAAGGGGAGAGAGTGTCCTTGATGATGCGTAAGGGGAGGGGGTGGCTTTGGTGAGGGGGTTGATAAGGGTAGGTGGGATGGTCCAGCAAAGAGAGCAGGGATGCAGCCCCTAGCATTTAATAAGTGCTTAGAATATATGTTTACCCTTTCATTATATTCAAAATGTAATATTAAAAGTGAAGGATACCAAAATAACTACAGACCTATATAAACAGTTTAATATGTGGACATATCTTCTTTTTTATGTAATATCTCGACTTGGATGACTCCGAGGGCTAACTCCTATTCTGAAAAGCAAAAATTGCTTTTGTAAACAACTTGAACTTACGAAACATTGTGTAGAATTGTTGTGGGTTAAGGTTCCATTTTCCCCATGGAGTTTTGTGGCCTTTAGATTGGGCATAATGAGCATGGTTAAACTCTGGTTCAGTCCCAAATGAATCTAGCACTCGTAACATGCACCTGTGCAAAGATAAAGGAAGGCAACAACAGTGTTAGTAATTGGTGACCATGCCTTCTAAAGCTGATACAGAAATTTCTGGCATAACCGAGAATAAAAGCAATACCATGATATGCATCAACAAATCAGCATGGTTACTATTCATATTTATTCATGCCAAAGAAAATATGGTAAACATCTGCCTCTGATAGCAACACCACGGGCCAATTTACATAATAAACCTAGCAATCTTGGGACTTAGAAAGGGCCCATTCTCCCTAAATACCAAGTATTATTATTCTTATTTGCACGTGTCCACTGAAAAATGGCCTAGAAGTACTTCTCAACAATGGCCTAGGAGTACTTTGTTGAGAAGTTTTGATAGAAAAAGTATCTGAAAGGCAGTTTCAGAGTTGGGATGGGATCAAGAGGTGGGGGGGGGGAGAGAGAAGAGTTGCAATCAATTAAACACAAAGAAGAATTTTCTGACAATAAGAGCTGTTGAAGAGTGGATCAGACTCCCTTGGGAAGTGGACTGTCCTTCCTTGGAGGTTTTTAAGCAGAGGTTGAATGGCAATCTGTCATGGATGCTTTAGCTGAGTTCCTGTATTGCAGAGGGTTGGACTAGATGACCCTCGGTGTCCCTTCCAATGCTACAATTCTGTGATTCTATTTTATGCATCCATGATACTTCCACATTCTAAGTCCCCTTAGTCTGCACTGGGTAGCTGAAATTCAAAGCTTTATGTCAACCGCTTTCAGTGAAAACATTTTACAGCAGCAAAATTATTTTTTGATTACATCAAGTGCTTGTCGGGAACCAAACGTATTATTTAGTAGAATAAATCATACAGCAGAAGGAAGCTGTTGGGTTATACTGTGGAAAGGAGAGTGGGATTTGAATAAAAGCATTTGGTTTTAAGCCAAATGCAGGACGTGGGATGATTCTTGGAAGATAAGGATTAGCAAAATGAGTAGGCTGAATTAACTATCTGAAATACAGTGACAGGTTACATAATATTTATTATTCTCCCCGTTGCATTAAAACTGATAACAAAGAAATGAATCACCAAGTCAAGTTTTAATGCACTGTTATGCATATGGTGCACTCTTAAAAATAATGTTTGAAGGAAAGTAAACCAAAGTTAAGAAAATGTATATAATGTGATTCCTAAAGTAGCTTTACTGTTAAGTTTTCTTCTTCTCTACTTTTAATAGAATTATAGGACTGAAAGGGATGCCAGGGGCCATCTAGTCCAACCCCTGCAATGCAGGAATCTCAACACCTGGTCCCCCATCCAATTTGAAACCATACCAGACTCTACTTAGCTTTGCAAATATGCTAGCAGTTTTAATGCTATACCACTTGGAGGTGTTTTGCTGACTTCCACTTTATAGAGTACCAAAGAATAACTGGAAAACAGAAAGCTTAAAGAAAACCAAAGGATAACTAATTCAACTTCCTGAACTGAAAAGGCAAGAAATTGTTGGAACCCATCGTCAACAAATGCCTCCAGAGCCCATAGCTTTCCAAAGCACTTTATTCCATTACTCAGTTCATGCTGCAAAATGAAGAGTTAACTGAGTTACCTCAAATGCTAAAAACAGCCTTTTTTCAATTTGAACCATTTGGTAAAGAAAAGCAGCAAAGAAAAGTTGAAATATTGATGTTATTTCATATATTTAATGAACTAAGAAGAAGGAAAACAATGAGGATTTAGTTTGTCAGGCACATTTTTCCTCCCATCTTCTTCTGCTCAGTTTCTAAAATTTGGAATCCAGTGGCAATGTAAACCTACATGAATGAAAAATGAGTGAATATATGTTGCCCATTCATATTTTCAATTATGTTTTTCAGGCTCTGTTCTGCTACAACTGCAAACCGTGGCTTGGTGTTACGTGATAAAGCTTGCACACACATGCACACTCTCCTTGCTCATCTGAAAAAAATATTTCCTGTAAGCCTATTACATTTGAGTCATCCAAATATGGATTATGCTTTCACTCCAAACTAGAATGGCAAACCACAGCTTGAAGCTGATTTGAAAACATGATTTGGAGAGCAAGTATAAACTGTAGTTCAGTTCACCACTTTGGATAGAAAAACAAGCCCTGGATTGTTTGTAAGAGGAAGTAATTGGGTGTCAGTGGGGAGAAGGGCGGGTATGAATACAAGGTTTGTTCACAGTGCACCAAAATAAAGTCTGGAGATACACCTGAGTGACCCTGACCACAAAAAACTAAAGCAACTAAAAAGCAAGAAGAATGCAAAATAATACAATTTATTTTGGTTAAGTTTACTTTCAGATACGCATAATCAAATATTGAAAAACAAAACAGATAACAAAACAGAGATTAATAAATCTAATCAGCAAAAAGTAGTGACTCCAATTGCCAGATGCATTTCAAACTTCTTCTTCAGTGGCATATAAACGACAGTTAGTGGATTAGCTATTCCACAGTAGAATCAGATTCAGGTTTGCATAAATCAGGAATCTTAGTCTTAAGAAAAAAATACTACATTTCTGCTCTGTGCAAGATTTATCCTCCTGATATCCAGGAATTTTCCAGTTCCACTTCACTGAAGCAGGGGGTAGACTCCCAACGCTCTGGCCTTGAGGGACATAAGGGATGAAGAAGCTACTGTCATACAATTTCTTACAGGTTGGGCACTTGTGTTTTAAAGCAAGAGCAAGGCTGCTTGTTGTGCACAGACCTGCAAATGAACAGAGCTCCTATGAAAAAGAAGCTACTCATGCACAGGAGTTCTTTTCTGACGTCCACACAAGATGTGAGGACAGCCTGAGTATGTGACACTGGTGTCATGGCCTTATGTGAATGCTCTATAGGAGAGTAGCACATAAAAAGGGCTAGTTTAAAAATTCAGATTCAACATCAGGGACAATGAGGAGAAAGTTGTAAAAATGCACTAGATATGTGGAACCACAATTCCTTCTGATAAACTGCTTTAGAAAGGAATACTTACTGATAGTGAACCCAGGATGGTCCAAGGGTTTTCTTGAACTGAGTCAGTCCAACAATGTCAATGTAAATTAGTTCCACCACTTTATCCCCTTGAGTTGGGCAGCCAGATCTGTTACCAACTACCTTCTTCATAATCCTAATAGTAAGAAAAAAGAAAAACTTCATTTCCACCGAATTCCTGCATTCATACATAAGAATGAAATAAATTTAGTCTTAACAGTGAGCTTTTATTTTTCCATTCCCAGAGACAGAATGACTAACAAACCAGTGTGTGTGTGTGTATACGCATGTATTGCCTCAACAGGATTTTTGAAGAGCAGTGTCTGAGCAGGAGTCACTGCAACTCCAAAAGCCTGTCCAAGGCAGTATTCTAACCCTCAAATTATCAGCGCTGATCTAACATCTTGCTGGTCTGGTTCACAGAACACCATATGTCAAACTATGGTTTACCAGGACTGTGAGAACATGTGGATTCCTGGAGATGAGTCACTTTACTCATCCCATCTTAAGCCATGGTTTGATTTAGTGCGTCATCAAAACCTGGCCTTGTGGTTAGGCTCTTTCCTTGCTAACTGTGAGCTACAGCCAAGGCTTGTTCTCAGCACTTGGGTTTGGAAAACAAGCTAAGCCAAATCGTTGGTTAGCTCAGCAGAGGAGTTAAAAAAAGACCAGGAAGAAAGCATAATGGTTGCAACCAATTCTCCTTGTACCTGCACATCCACACAGTCCCAGAAAACCGTAGTATGGCTTACTGTATTGTGCAGGCAAAGACTAATGTGAAAAATATGGTATGTGCAACATGGCTTTCGTGTCCTCTGCTCTTCACTGCTGCCTTCTCCAGGAGCCCCACTAGAATGAAGTGGAATATTGTGTCAGGGAATGGAAGCAGGATATAGAATAGGTTGGAGCTGGAGGGCATTTTCCCTATAAGGAATTCCACACCCTTCATTGAGTGCCCCCTTCCCATTTCCTGCCCAGCAATCCAATATTGATAGGTAACCTTCACAACAGACCTTGGGTTCTGTTTTCCCTCTGTGAGCTACGTGTCTCAGAGAAGCCAATTCTCCTTGTATTGTATACTTGTGAAACACTGCAAGAGGAATAAACCCCCGAGCTTACCATGGTGTGGGTGTGCACATGGGTGTGCACATGCGCAATAGCTCTTCTTCACCATTTGGTAGTAGGTGAGCTACAATGTGCTTCCAATTTCTTATTGGGGTTTTATATATCGGGAAAGTGAGGGGCCTGGTGGGCTCTCTACCAAGACCAAAGCTTGCGTCAAAAAATTTGGTCTTTCCAGATGCAACTAACTTGCCAGATCCTCAATCTCCAGAGAAATTATGCTAGTCTCATTTTGAAATCGCATTAGTCTCACATTTCAGCAAACAGCACTACTGACAGAGGTATTAATGTGTGGAAATGTCCACAACAGGGTTAACACTTGATAATTTCCTTAGCATAAACATGTGCTCACTGCAGAAATACAGTGAAACCGTTGTTGTTGTTGTTTAGTCGTTTAGTCGTGTTCGACTCTTCGTGACCCCATGGACCAGAGCACGCCAGGCACCTCTGTCCTCCACTACCTCCCGCAGTTTGGTCAAACTCGTGCTGGTAACCTCGAAAACACTATCCAACCATCTCGTCCTCTGTCGCCCCCTTCTCCTTGTGCCCTCCATCTTTCCCAGCATCAGTGTCTTCTCCAGGGAGTCTTCTCTTCTCATGAGGTGGCCAAAGTACTGGAGCCTCAGCTTCACGATCTGTCCTTCCAGTGAGCACTCAGGTCTGATTTCCTTAAGAATGGATGCATTTGATCTTCTTGCCGTCCATGGGACTCTCAAGAGTCTTCTCCAGCACCATAATTCAAAAGCATCAATTCTTCGGCGATCAGCCTTCTTTATGGTCCAGCTCTCACTTCCATACATCACTACTGGGAAGACCATGGCTTTAACTATACGGACCTTTGTTGGCAAGGTGACATCTCTACTTCTCAAGATGCTGTCTAGGCCTGTCATTGCCCTTCTCCCAAGAAGCAGGCGTCTTTTAATTTCGCGGCTGCTGTCACCATCTGCAGTCATCATGGAGCCCAAGAAAGTAAAATCTCTCACTGCCTCCATTTCTTCCCCTTCTATTTGCCAGGAGGTGATGGGACCAGTGGCCATGATCTTCGTTTTTTTGATATTGAGCTTCAGACCATATTTTGCGCTCTCCTCTTTCACCCACAGTGAAACCAGACCAGATTAAAACAGATAGGGATACCCTATTACGTTAAACTCACATAATTCTTTCCACAAATGGGCCTATTCATGTACCGAAGGAGTGTCACCAAACATTATGACTAATCCTTTAAGCCCATATTGTAAACATTTTAATTCATGGCTGCTTATGTATATTATACAAATACAAGCACACACACTTCCGGGACTAGCTGCCATACGTTAACTCTCTGGCTTAATTTACAAGGAAGCATAATAGAGAAGTCTTTCAGGCTTATTGAGTTGAGATATGGTACAGCAGAACAGTTCTTTGGGGCCCTGAAATCAAAGCTCATCGGTTTCTGACATACAAATACAGTCACCCCACAACTATGCGGGGGGTTACGTTCCTGGGATCACGCCTAAAACCACGTATAGTCAAAACATGTTAGATGTCATGGTGGGTGGGGTTTGCCTTTGTTCCCAGAAGCCTGCCCCCTTTCTGCCTGCTTTTATCTTTTATTATTTGTTTGCATTTTTTTGCCAAGAGCGTAAGGCTGAATGCAAACAAATTAAGTGAGCATACGTTGTGGGCTTACTGTACCACCACCTGTGCGATTAAACATCACCCCCAGCACAGTACAGTGTAACCACGGGCTTAATTCTCAATGTGTTTCCAATGAAATAATTTGGAAATTATGGGTCACGTGCTGAAGAACAGGATCTTCAGAAAATAGCTCAAAATCCAAAACCTGTCTGGGAAAAACGATGGCTTTCACACAAATTAACCACAACCAATCTAATTTGCTGATAAACAGTTTCATGTTGGAAATAAAGGTTATTTAAGAAAAAGAGGAAACAAATTAGAAGACATTTCTCTTGCTGCAGATGTCTAGCACACCTGTAATGGCAGAGAATAGAACTGCTTAGTTCTGAATTTTCAAGCATTCATTTATGAAGCCTAAGGAGGAAGCAGTGACAATGAAAACATATTATGCTTTTCATGGTGCACATATTTAGCTTATGAAAATAATCTACTTATCATCTGTTTAGTGAATTATCACTTTCATTTTCCTCTTCACAAAATTATAGGCTGTAGAATAAAGACTTCAAGAGAGTTTGCAGTTAAAGGAAGGGGGGTTTTTGGTACTCAAGTTTCAAAGTGGAAAATAATCTCCTTACTCCTTGAGCTCTGCCAATGAAGCTGAAATCCTAATGTCATGGCCCAGTAAATAGAGAGATGTAATTAAATCACTCCACTGGACTAATTCACCAAGTGGGCCACCACTAAAGGCATTTTCTGCAATCTTGAATCCAGATTCTTTTGTAAGGAGTCCCAGATGAACGAGGACCTGAAAAAAAAAAGCTGAAATGTAAGTATTCAGTACTGGATATATATTGAACAGAGGGTTTAACTATAACATCATTTTACATCAATAGCCCCAATTGCTACAACATAGAATATTAAATAGTTGTACTTAATTATTTCAATCACTTATAAAACACCTAGTATTTTCTAAGCATGTGGAGCTGTTCATTTACAGCATCTACAAAATGTTAAAAACACACACAAGATACTCCTCAGCCACAGACTCACAGGCTAACAGCACAATGCAAAAGGAAAAGAAACTAAGAGAATAAGTCATGCATTCAAAGGCATCAATTATTGAAATTACTTCAGACCTACTCATGTGGGTAGAAGTGTGCAGAGAGAGAAGCAAGGCCTCACTTTTGTGTGAGAAGCATGTGTAAGCTTCCTGTTTGTGAGCTGGGGATCTGCACAGCTGGGACCTGTGGTGTAGCATGGGCGGGGCAATGGGGGAAGTTGCCCTGGGCGCAAAATTGTTAGGGGTGCAAAATTTAATAAGATAAAAAGAAAATAATAATAATAATAATAATAATAATAATAATAATAATAGCACGCCCTCTGCCTCACACAGAACTGGCGATGGCCAGTTGCTCAGGTTCCCTTTGCACAGTCTTTTGAAAGATACCCGCTCCTGACCAAAACCCCATCCTGCTTGATGCTCACAGGCATCACAGCTGCAAGGATACTTGCCTTGCCCCAGGCAACCCACGCTACGCCACTGGTTGGCGCGCGCGCGCGCACACACACCACCACACACACCACAATTAGGTTCTCAGACTATGTGGAGCTCCTGCAAATGTGCTCATACAGTGGTATTTTCCCCTTACAGAACAAGTAAGATGGTGGGACTAAAAGTGCACCACTCCCCACTCCCTAAACATTTATGCCCTGCGCAAGAGTGAAACATGAACAGGGCTACTGTCTCAGCAGTATCATTTATTTAGCCAGCAAAATTCAAATACCACTAAATCGCAGTCTCTTAAGAGATTCACATAAAACATACAAAATACCAATTCAATATAGCAATAAAATAAACTTTGAAAACAGTAAACACAATACAATTATCAAAATATAGATAAAAGCAACAGTTCTGAGAACAAATGCATATGATCAAATTACATTTCTAGGGATGCCTGTTGGTGGAAAAAAATGTTTTTAGAAGGCACCAAAAAACCCAGTACAATGAAGGTGCCTGCCTAATATTAATAGGAAGTTAATTCTCTAATCTAACGATGATTAGAGAATCATCTAATGTGGACTGTGGTGGGCTTCCCTGCCTGTAATTACGTATACACATACAACCCAAAGCCCTTAGTCCCTTAGCTGTTTGCAGAACCCAGTATGCAGTCAATAACAAAAAGCAATACACTATATTTAAGGCTTTTTATTGGTCATTCATTTGATGTTACATCTTAAATGTGATTCCGCTGAGTCTGGCAGGTTGTTGCAGGTTTCAGTTTCTCTTCAAATTCTGTATTCACGGTTAGGATATATCATTTAGTTTCCAATTATATAATCCCTGAAGGTTAGTCCATGTTCTGCACAATCTAATGATTTGTTTTTTAAAAATGTGTATCCAGAATAAATACTCTCTGGTTTAACTGCTGGTATAGGACCCCTTCTGATCTGATGGTGCCAATTATATTAGTACCAGTTACTTCTAATGTGATTTAACCCCAATTATTCTCATTACAATAACAAGAGGTTATCTGTGAGGTACCCTGTGAGAAAATTAAATCATTTCCTTATGGCCGAAAGGAGACTGCCAAAAATGCTTTCACATTATCACTGACTCAGACCATGGAAAGGCATAACACAAATAGTTTTGGGGGACATTTTTATATCCCAAACAAAACTGGAGTGAAACTTGGAGTTGTAAGATGTCCCCAAAAAGAGCCATGTGGGCTGGTGCCAGAAGAATGAATGAATGCTTTTCCTGGATCAGTTTGTTTGAAAAAACCATGGGACTTATTTAAAATGCCAGGATATTAACAGTGGCTGGAGCAATAAAGTACACCAATGGCAACTATCACCATCTCACCATAAACTTGTACCAACCTGGTTGGATCACAGGGATGTGGAGGGTATGTGGAGCCCCACATAGGGCAAAATATTTCTGCATTGCAGGGAGCTGGATACCTCATGGTCTCATCCAACTCTATGATTCTGTGATGACTAGGAAAATCATACCCCAAATTATTGTATTTGCAAGGCCAAAAAAGCACCCCACATATAAAATACAATTAGTTTTCTTAGGATATTTTGTGTCCCAGGTGCTTTTTGTGCTCCTTTTTAGTCCTAGAAGGACTACATTGCAGATAAATTCTGCAATGAAAAAGTGCACCCGGGGTATAATTCTAACTCTAGACATCTGGATTAAAATAAAGGTATTCCATACACAATGCTAATATTTCATAGTCTCCAACTATTTTCTCTGTGATGAAAATAGGGATGTCCTATTTAATCATCATCATCATCATGCTCCACCCATCTGACTGGGTTGCCGCATCCACTCTGGCAGCTTACAACATATATAAAAATATAACAAAACAAACATTTAAAAAATTCCCTATACGGGGATGCCTTCAGATGTCTTCTAAAGGTTGCATAGTTACTTATCTCCTTGGCTCAGGGGTCTCATAACTCCATACCCTCCAACATTTATCCAATGAAAATAGGGACATCCTAAGGAACATTAAGGAAATAGGGACATTTCAGGATCAAATCAGAAACCAGGACGGCTTCTGTAAATCCTGGACTGTCCCTGGAAAATAGGGATACTTGGAGGGTCTGACATTTGAAATCAGCTTATATTGGGCCCTTAACACCATGGAGAGATTGCAAGTCAATACCTGTCCATCCAGAATCAAGGTTATTCAGATACTACTTTACCTTTATCCTCAAAATGCTCCTTTCCTTGGATTCATGTTTTTAATTGGATTAAAATCCCACTGGCAGAGAATTGTAACTGGTTTTTAGTTAGCCTACACTACCTAGTTAAGTGTCACCATTTGGAAGCATTTTGAATTGCTAGCTTAGTTACCTCTCTCTTTTTCTCTGACATAAGGCAAGTATATTGAACCAGCTCCTACTCGACACTTAAAGCTAATGGGGCAGTTTTCTAGATGAAATGGTATTTCTGCCTTGGAGCAGAACTCACTTTTTTTCGTTTTCTCTTCTCCAGGTTTTGTTTTTCAGCAAGTGATTTAATTGCTTCTATCCAAGTGTCTGCCATCCTTCTTATTCGTAGCATCATCCACCGGAACTCTTCATGCCTGGACATCATTTTGTATAGCAATTCAAAATTCGTTCTGATTTCAGCCTTCAATTAAACAGAAAAGTTTTAAAAGTAATATTGCAAAAATGATTATTTTTTTCCTAACAGGAAATCTCTCTAAAGTGTGTGGGTGTGTGAGGCACAGTGTCATTCCACTTCATTTATTTAAAAAATGCATACAGATATTCCAAAATTCAAACTCACAAAGTTGGAAAATGGAAAGTAAGCTCTCAGATATTATCTGTGTGATAACTGAGCTCATCATGTGTGTTCTCCCCTCCCCCCATATTACTTTGGTCATTTCATACATTAAGACAAATACATTTCCCCAGCAACCATACCTATATGAAATATAGGTTAGCCATTATGTGATTGTTTTTCATATTCACATTTTTAAACATATACCTGAAATAGCAAATATATGGAGTGGCTCTTAATTGTTAAGTTAATAATATAACATTTGCTTTATTCAGTACTGCAACTCTTTCATTAGAAAGAGGGGTTCTTAACTTGTGACATAATACTACTTTATTATTATATAATATATTAGAAGAAGAAGAAGAAGAGTTTGGATTTGATATCCCGCCTTTCACTCCCCTTCAGGAGCCTCAAAGCGGCTAACATTCTCCTTTCCCTTCCCCCCCCCCACAACAAACACTCTGTGAGGTGAGTGGGGCTGAGAGACTTCAAAGAAGTGTGACTGGCCCAAGGTTACCCAGCAGCTGCATGTGGAGGAGCGGAGACTCGAACCCAGGTTCCCCAGATCACGAGACTACCGCTCTTAACCACTACACCACACTGGCTCTCAATGTTTCTTCTTCCCCCCAGACTCCCAATTTTAATGAAGTTGACTTTATGTACACCAAATATGTCTGCTGACTGAATAGACCTACCTGCAATATAAAAAGTATGCTTCCAAATATTTGCTGTAGTATCTAAAAATTGTGTATTAACTTCTAAGTATGTCCAACAAATGCATGTTTCCAAAAGAATGGGAAGAAAAGGCAAGTGTGTGAGATTAGGACCAGAATTACTAGGCATTCAGACGGTTTAGGGTTTACTTTATGACCCAAGATTTGTTTTTGGTTTTTTCTCCCTACATAGAAAGCTGAACTTAAGGTAACTCCAAGGCCCACTTTGTTAACCATTTTGAAAGCTTTGAGACATACTCCTTACCATCGTCTTTTGATCAGTTTCTTCATTAGGATTTTTTGCTCTCCAGGGTAAACGGGGACACCAGTTTTCAACCTGCAGATATAGGGATCTTTTGTTAGGCACAGCTTCAGACGCATCAAGCAAGATGTTCATTCAACTATTTCCTTGATGCGATCCCATTCTCATTTACTGGCAGCCATAACAAAACAGCACAAGGTCAGCAGGCGACAAACCAAAAGAGAGGCACTTCTTTGAAGATATCGTAGCAACAGCAATAGCATTTTCAAAAGACGACGAAAACAGATTGGCTATTAAAGTCCTATCTTTGGCCTCTTCAATAAATTGGCTCCCTTTCATTAGCTGATCAAATCTTCAACGCACCATATATGTATTGTATGAAACAACCCTGAAGAAGTTGCTATGAGAAAATTGGAGTGCTCAGCACAACAGGACAGCTGGCACATGGAGAAAAATGTGTTTAAATCATTATGCAAGAATAAAGCACAACGCGAGTCAATAATAAATAAAAAACTGTGACATTAAGACTTTATTTATTTAGTAGAAGGAACACCGATATCCACAGAAGGCAACACTTCCCTTACATTGTCCCTTGAGACGGACGGATGCCAACAACAATGAATATATGAGAACACAGGATGCCATGAATCCATTCTCCTATCGTAATGGATTTCCTGGTGGTACTAATCCCAATGCACACGTGGGATGCATAACAACAAATATTTTTCTACAGTCCAAAAATGAGTGTTCCAGTGATAAGGAACCTATAACACTTTAAAATGATTCACTACAAAAAGGCCAAAACCTTTGCTACTCACCAAAATCTTCAGTGCTAGCAGAGGAATTAATAACTTACCAGTCAAAAGAGTTTGAGTCCATCTGCCAAATTGCCCCTAACTCTACCATGGTTTGTTCATTACTTTCATCAATGTTTTGTTATTGTTGTTAAAATAGAAATGGAAAGTGCAAGGAGGTCTGATTAGGATTCCACCGTGTCCATGGTCAACCCTTTCCTCCTGCACCATTGTGCTGAAAAAAACGCACCCCTCCCTAAACTGCTGTTAGTCCTAGGACAGGACTAACACTCTGTGATTTAAAGTAGGCTATAGTTCAGAATTTAATCCATAAAAAGACAGCCTTATATAATCTGCTTTTTGTTAGTACTATTCTATACGGGTGTGTGTGTGTGTGGGGAATAAATAGATGAATAAAGAAATGCTACTGACCATGTCAGAATCTCTATTGCCTAATTCTGATAGAAACACCAGCCAGAGGGATGGTAGGATTTAACTGTCATCAGCAATCAGAATTTTAACCAATGGCACACTATTACCAAGCAAGCTTCTTCACAGGCAACTTTATAATTTTGTCTTGCAGCAGAGGTACTTCACTGTTTCTGTGAAGCAGCACCATGCTACATACTGAGGAACAACTGCACATTTTAAGCAGAATCTCCTCGTCAGAAGTCATTGGAGAAAAATAGCTCCCACCTACGGTGAATTACTAAGCTAAAGCGCATAAATTCTTCTATCCACCCCCCAAAAGCCCAATTCTCTTTTTTAGTACTGTTCTCATTCCTTACTGAAACTACTGCATTCCTTATTGCAGAATATGCATGTCTAGAACTCTAGTTGAAAATTATGATGATTGATTTAAAGATCAAATTGTGTTGAGAAAGACTCTTCCATCAATCTCTGAGAGGATGCCTGAAGAAATAATGCTCCATGATTTTGGAGCATCAGATAGAAAGGTAGACCAGGGAAGAGTCTGCTGCAAAAAGAAGACTGCCTATTGACAAATTACTTTATGAGACACCAGTTCCAGGTTATCTTTAGCAAGCAACACAATTCATATATCCACATCATTGTAGTGGTTATTAGAATTTTATTTCATGCTTGAATTCACAAATATTTAAGCTTTCAGAATTTGCTGTTTAGCTTAATCATAACATTAATCACAGGATTAAGTATGCTGAATTTAAGCTCAAGGTTAATACCATGACCAAACAATATTAGTTTTATGTGCTGTCAAAAAGAAACCTCTTAGGAAACCCCCCAAAGACTTTTATGTATGCTGTTCACTAAACATAAAACAGATTGATGAGTAACATGGATCATTTGTTCTTCGGGGAAGCACAATGAATTCTATAAAATTATGTACTGTAACAAATGCCACATGAAGTACTTCATAAATTCCCTAAATTCTGGAGTGTTTGAAGATCTAGGATTCACTATTTTTTCATAAATACAGAAGCATCCTAATATGTCAAGCAAAGGACATGATAAACACAAATCATTATACAGTGGTACCTCGGGTTACATATGCTTCAGGTTACATACGCTTCAGGTTACAGACTCCATTAACCCAGAAATAGTATCTCGGGTTAAGAACTTTGCTTCAGGATGAGAACAGAAATTGTGCTCCGGCAGCACGGCAGCAGCAGGAGGCCCCATTAGCTAAAGTGGTGCTTCAGGTTAAGAACAGTTTCAGGTTAAGAACGGACCTCCAGAACGAATTAAGTACTTAACCCTAGGTACTACTGTATATCACTAGGCCTTGACATTTTTTCTCCATCAATAGTTACAATATGGCTGAGAGCACTGGTGGTGAATTGGGTGTTATAAACAACATTTTGCCCCATTGTCTGCATAGCTCTAATCTGTTGTATATACTGGCCTTGCACAAAATGGAAGTATATAGGGTGTTCCCCTAGCCAACATGTTAGGTCATATAATACTACTGTAGGTGTCACAGAACACTTATATGCACCTCTCCCAGATTTCAGTTCTTACAATCACCCTAAAAATGGGGTAATAGACTCTGGTAAAGAAAAACCTTTTCAACAATACACAACATAGAAAATAAGTCTAAAAAGTGTGACTGATGAGGTTAAAACACTTGCTCCACAAACTTATATATTTATAGCCTTATCATAACATCTTGCTTTTTAGAAAAATGAGAATGAGCAAACGCAAAATTACTCTCCGATCTGAACTGGTTGAGAATATGCTCCTCCTACACTCTAAAAGAACATATTCAAAATAATTTTCCACTGCAATTCTGTCTTTCTATTATCCCTGCAGAAGTATCTGTGTGTGATATATTTATACATGTTGAACAGTGAAGCTTCATGCAACAGTTGATTACCAGCTTTCACCACCAAATAAATGGAACCCAGTACTCTTAATAAGTAGTATCACAAGGCAATGGCAGCCCAATGGGACCATGTGTCACAGGTCATGAAAGTACTGCACTGGCTGCCAGGGAGCTACTGGGCCTAATGTGTTAGGCCCTAGCATATGTGTTAGTCCTAGCATATGCAACCCTAAATGGCTTGGGATCCAAGTACCTAAAAGAGTTCTTTCCTCAGTATCAAACACCCTGTACCCTATGATCTGGAGGTCAGGCCTTGCTGTTGATGCCACCAATAGGGGCTGCTTGGTTGGCACTGACATGTAAAAGGGCCTTTTCATTGGTGGTTCCCCATTTGCGGAATGCCCTCCTCTAGTGAGGTGCATCATAGTGAGGAGGAATTTGAAAATGTTCCTAAATAATGGCCGAAGAATACTGTACACCTGGCAACCCTGAGATCACTGGATGAAATCATGTTTTTAATTGTGAATCTTTTTACAGTGTTGTAACTGTTCTAGAATGCTTTTCTTTTCTTTTAATTGTGAGAGTGTGTGCTGCCCAGTGTAAGCTGGTAGCCAATAAATGACAGCAAGAGCCACTGTTGAGGTCCACTGGGACTGCATGTTCCATCTCTTTCTTCAAACCATTTTAACTCACCCAGAACCTATTACAGTGGTACCTCTGGTTATGTACTTAATTTGTTCCGGAGGTCCGTTCTTAACCTGAAACTGTCCTTAACCTGAAGCACCACTTTAGCTAATGGGGCCTCCCGCTGCCGCCGCCGCCCGATTTCTGTTCTCATCCTGAAGCAAAGTTCTTAACCTGAGGTAATATTTCTGGGTTAGAGGAGTCTGTAACCTGAAGTGTACGTAACCTGAAGCATATGTAACCCAAGGTACCACTGTAGTAAGATAGACTGTAAATCTAATAAGCAACAGTTTAGAAGTTAAGCCACAAGCTGATCAATAGCCACCAATACTGGATGTACTGATCTTCTAAAAATCTGTTTTCACCCAAGTTATGGCACTCCTTTGCTGGCATTCTCTTGTGAACTGTATTTGTTCCATCATCTATATTGAGCTTAATTAGCATGTCTATAAAAAGATACCAGTAATACTCACTGACACATGCCAGGAAACACTATGATACCTCCTGAGGTGAGGGAGATATTAACAAGCTAACTTGCTCTAAGAATATGTTTTGGCCTTTCATTACCTCTTGAAAGCTGAGAGAATAAATATGCCATTTTTTTGGGGGGGGAGGAGAAGTACTATGACACACAGTATGCACATAGCATTTTAATAATTTAAAAGAAGAATTCTATGTTCTTCATTAGCTACATCAGCAGGAAATGCTGATGATTCAAAGACAGTTAAATTCTATTAAGGAAAGACCTTCCTTAAAAGGGAACAAATCTTTAAAGTGCAACAAAATTTAAGAGTTCACCCAGGATAACTCATAGTCAGCCTGTACTTTGAATATGTAGGGAGTTATACCAGAGAGAAATAAAGGGGGGGGGGACATTTTCCATCTTACAAGTGTTATGAAGCAGTGTTTCCCAACCTTGTGCCTCCAGCTGTTTTTGGACTACAATTCCCATCATCCCTTGCCACTGGTCTTGCTAGTCAGGGATGATGGGAGTTGTAGTTCAAAAACAGCTGGAGGCACAAGGTTGGGAAACACTGTTATAAAGTACAAACGGTAACATACTGCTGGAAAAACGAAACCTATTGGTCATAATTATGCAGACTATGATAAGAACAATACAGTGTGCATATCAAAGGGCAAGACTAATTACTTTTTTGCCCACCGATCTAAATCGCAGTTAAAGGTTACTAAAAAACTCTGGACCGAGCCACTTTGCCTCTCCCCACTATCATGGGGCCTATGAGGTTAAATTGTGGTTAGCGTTAATTATTATTTATTGTGCTAAACGATTAATGCTTGAAATTTTATTTTAAAATCCAGTCAGTCATTGGGATTTTCCAACAGCTCTACATATCAGTCACAATACAAATTTACTGACCTCACTGAGGTAAATAAAGAAGGAGCATGTGGATCCATCCACACCGTAACTTGCGTAACAAGGATCAGATCGCCACATATCTTTCATCCACTAGAAGATAAAAAACACACACATACAGTCAACAGATATGGGGTTTAGAAGCCTAACTACAATACCAACCATACATATATAACATGGGTGAACTGGTAGGAAGCAGCATCTGAGATCAGCAAAGTCAGCTGTGGCCATTAATTATTACATCATGTTAATATTTCATGCATGAACATGTAGAATAACCTCAGTGTTAGTCAAGGCATCAATATATGGTTTACTGCTGTGCACACAATGTAAGTGGACCAAGATCTGTTCTACACACCATTCTATATATGGGGCTTTTTCAGGCTAGGAAGCTGCCTTATATCAAATCAGACCATTGGTCCACTCAACAAATAAATGCAATAGGAAATTAGTCTTACTTTTATTTTGCCCTCGCAGTGGGGGAAGCCATCCATGGGAGGCAATTCACACTGTTCCTGGGCTCCATTAATGAGATCTGAGAGAGAGAGAGAGAGAGAGAGAGAGAGAGAGAGAGAGAATAAGATTCAATAATTGTAGCACACTTCATAACATATTCATACTTCATCTCAACTAGCTGTGCAGATGGATCACCACCCAAATCCCAACTGAATTCTAAAAATGAGCACTGCCTTTTCTCCCCCGGCCCCCAAGAACGGAGAATTAAAAGCAGGCCATACAACCAGGTAGGAATAAAACTGAATGTGCAGCAATTGTGCTCAAACAGAACAGGTTGTTAAGAATTAAAAAATGGAAATAATTCCTCATCATTTATAATTAAGCACAGACAAATTCCTAAGCAGAAATGCAATTAACCTATTTGTTAAACTGAAGTACAGCAATCATTCAATGAGCAGTTGAGAGTCAAATGTTTGACAAACCTCAGAACACAGATGCAAGCTTAATTCATTTTAAGGCTGCATTCCCCATTATCACTGCATGGAGCACATGCATTTACAGTGGCACACATTATTATGGGTATGAAAATAAAGAGAGAGACGGGATGTTGGTCAGAACCTGGGGATCTGAGCACCAGAGATTTCTTTCTCCTTGTTATCTGGCTCTACCCAGTCCGCATGTGATTCCGAAAGTCATGTGTGAGGAGTTTGTGTATACACATGGGACTTTGTGCAGAGGACAAAGGCTAGTGGCTTTTGATGATCTTTCCATCCCATGTTGGGACAGCCCCATGACTATCAGCCTGACCACAGATTGCATACCTTGACCTCATGTTCTTGATTAAACATAAGTTTGATGATTTGATAGTAGGATGTTCTTTTTCATTTCATTGTCATGGTCAGCCAGCCCATTTCCTTGTGAGGTTTAGATTCATAGATGTTTCTAACATTTGCAGGTGTGGTGTGCCTATTAAAATGCCCTGCCCCTGGTGGCTGATGGACATGTTTGGCTCTCATGAGTAAACCAAGGATGAGGAACCTGCAGCCCCCCCCGATGTTGTAGACTACATCTCCCATCATCCATGACCACCGGTCATGCTGTTTTAGGCTGATGGAAGCTGGAGTCCAACATTTATCTGGCGGGCCACAGGTTCTTCATTCCTACAATAGTCCATCTGTGCAAAGCAGAAATAACTCAGGCAGTTGATTCAATCACTACCCAACCACACTCTCCTCTACTACTGCAAAGAACTCAGCCTGCTCCCCCACCCCAAATTATTAATCCAGGATGTTATCTAATGTTGTTCACTAACACAAGGAATAAATCAGTGGAATGCCTTCTAGTGGTGCAGCAATAAAACTGCTAGCACATTTGCAAAACTAAGAGGGTCCAGTATGGTTTCAAATTGGATGGGGAACTGCAGGTTGCAGGAAGTTGGACTACATAACCCTCAGAGTCTCTTCCAACTCTAGATTTCTGGGGTTCCATGGAGTAACTCCTGCAGTTCCACACTCTAAATCTGCACCGATGAAAGGAGCAGATATAAACCAAATCCCTCGCTACATTGCAGTCTTTTCAGAAGGCCCTGAAGATTTATTTTCATCTGAACATCTAGGCATGGTGCTGGTTAGCTGGGTGACGGTGTAACTCAATTACACTCTCTCCAGCCCTGCATTTTATATGTTAAGTGTTCATTTGTAGTGTTTTAGATTTGGTACTAAATATAGGTGGTGGAAAACTTGATTCAATTATGACCTCCAGAATGGCACATTAGAGTGCCTACTTTGTTTCGGCAATGGCATCATAGCAGCAATAGTTTTCTGCACCCATTGTCTCCTTGGGAGGTCTTTCAGAAGAGTTGTGCTATATAAAATGTGAAGGGACTCTTTAGCATGTGAATATCACCTCAAGGCACAAGTATAGCCATTTCCAAGCAACGCATCTCCTAGCATATTAAAATGGTTCAAGCTTTATTTAAAATGTCATTGTAGACAAACTATAGCACAGTGTAGGCAGCAAAAGAAGAGTGCACAAAATTAATACCAAACCAAGGAGATAGAACGCTACTGTTAAGTACTCGCATACATAGCTTTTATGCTATGATAAAGCTCAGGTCATAACAGGAATGCTTAAATAAAACATAACACACACAGAGCACCAGATGTATCAAAGCAACATGTCAAGGCTTGTTTGCAAATAATATTGACTCAGCTGGAAGTTATCATGAAGGTGGTGTATCAAGGACAATAAATGGGGCTTTGCTTGAAGGGCACTGACCTCTCTGCCTCAAAGTCCTTGGAACTACAGGAGGGAGAACTGAAAAGGCAAGTCTTGGTAACAACAATGATTGCTGTCAATTCAATCAGATTCTCAACAATTAAGAAACATAATTGAAGCCAATATCTGATGAGTTTGAGCTGGACAGCTGACATTTTGACTACGGCTTTAGCAAGCATAAAAAGCCTATGTAGGGTCACTAATTTAGCTGAGTCCTATACTTGTCCTTCACTACACAATCTGCAAGCTAATTCAAAGAGAAGTTTGCAAGAGATTCATTATAGATTTTTCTGTCATGGGCTTGAATAGAAAATGGCCTTTCTATTTATAATTTCTAGAAGGACTCCCCACCCTGCCAGGGAGAAAGAAATAATTCACACACACACACACACCCCCCTAGAGATCTGGCTTAAAAGAGTAGCTTGAAGATTGCAGGAGAAGATGCAAAATTTCAAGGAGGTAATATTCACTTTCACTATCCTTTGCAATAGGAACCATTCTTACTTCTCACTTTCTGATGCAGGTAGCGTATGGGGCTGTCTGCCAGGCACTGGTTCTGGTTCAGTGGTCTGGAGGATCAGAAACCAGATGCAGGCTCAGGCATTCTACCTCATATTTCCTCCTCCTCAGCTTCCTATGCAGCATTAAATTTACCGTATTTTTTGCTCTTTAAGACTCACTTTTTCCCTCCTAAAAAGTAAGGGGAAATGTGTGTGCGTCTTATGGAGCGAATGGAGGCTGCGCAGCTATCCCAGAAGCCAGAACAGCAAGAGGGATTGCTGCTTTCACTGCGCAGCGATCCCTCTTGATGTTCTGGCTTCTGAGATTCAGAATATATATTTTTTCTTGTTTTCCTCCTCCAAAAACTAGGTGCGTCTTGTGGTCTGGTGCGTCTTATAGAGCGAAAAATACGGTAACTTGCTATGAAACCAAAGTCAGCAACTGTGGTGAGCTCTGGCCCTTAAAATGCAATGATAATGATAATGATAACGACAACAACAACAACAACGATTTTCAAAGCAAGCAATGTAGGCATTTTGAAACCACAAGGTGGGAGAAACAGGTGTTTTTGGGAAATGCAGGGAGAACTGAAATGTATGCAAACATGGGGGTATTCAGACAATCCTTATATGATCTTGCTTCTATGCGTTGATAAAATCAGGGTAGCTTTTTGAGCTCAGACACTTTCTCACATGCATAAAAAGTTAGCACCTAAACTAGGAAATCTTACATTTATTTAAACACATTGAAACCCCTGATTCAGGCGTTGCCTTCTCTGTGAAATAAGGAATGAAGAAGAAACACATAACCCAAAGACACACTTCCACTGATGCAGCATGAAGAGATAAGACCAGGAGGAGTTATTCAAAACAACATACTAAATAAACTTCAGTTGCTTAGGAACATGAAGTGTATTGCAACTTCCTGAACAAAACAATACTGTCTTGTATATGCATGAAGCAGGAAAAATATAAATCCTTCTCTTTATAGTCAAAGATAATTGACTAATTACAAATGCAACTAGTATTTGAGATGGAGTTGCAGGTGCTTCAACCTACGGTACCCAAGAATACATCATTTGACTAGCTAACAAATAAGGTGGGGGGGTGGTGGAACCATCAACATACCAGAGAAGAAAAAGGAATACTAACTACAAATAGAAATAGCACAGAGGTCTCAAAATAAAGAAAATATCAGGTTCCTCCAGAAACTGCTGAGTAATATCCAATCCTATAATGCAATGAACAGAATTACTCTCAACATTCTGAGAAAAATCATTGCATAAGAGCACACGCACGCACACACCCACACCCCCCGCAATTGGACCATTTGGGTGGAGACAAACATTACAAGGGAAAAATATGCTTTAAGCCTGCACCTCACAATTCTGAACCAATCCAAAGTATTAGACGGGTGTTTTCCTGCATTAGTAGTCTTTTGTTTGATATACTCACCAAAAAAGGTAAAAATAAATAGGGTTAGGTGGAATAATGATGTCACATTGTTTATCATTACTTTGTGGAAGCAAAGCATGAAGCACCTGCCAGCTCCAAGATACGTTGGAAGGGTATTCATCCACATGGGCATATCAAAACTTGCAATTCTATCCTCCCGTCTTGACAAGCTTTTCATGATTGCTGCCTAATAAGGTACACTTTCCCACCCACAAAGGGCACATCAAGGCTGTGATACAATACCATAGCCAAATATTTTAAGGTGAGCACAAGCTACACCATGTTAGGTCCATGGAACAACTCCAGCAAGGAAACAAATAGGTATCCTTTTATATGTTAAAGAAAAATGTAGTCAACATGTTTCAGCAATTCAGTGTGCAGGGTAGGTTCTCTCTAAAACCAGTTACCGGTAGGCAATACAATACAAGGAATGAGGAGCAACAGGGTGTAGTTTCATCACAATCTGCTTCTTTCGGTTCAATGACAGTAAGTCATTAAAAACAAAAACAAAAAGGCTAGGGGTTGCATTTAACAATGTCCTACTCAGAGTAAACCCATCAAAGTTAACAGACCTAAATGAGTCATAGCCATTAAAATGCAATGGCTCTTCTCCGAGTAGGACCAGCATCCTAATACTATCCCAGAAATGTAATCATTTATTGATTGTCTACCAGGTCTATACTCACAACGGTTCTTTAAAACCCTGACTGCTTCCATTTACTTCAGGGGTAGGGAACCTTTTTGACTCCACAGGTAAGATCCTTATCAGAATCAGCCTTGCAAACCAAAATTGACAGATATCATTACTATGGTGATGGTGATGATCCCACCCTTCACCCTAAGAACCTAGGATGAATTATAAGAATGTACAATCAGGATACCTGGTTCTTGGTCAGATTTTGAAATATATTCTTTTACTGTATACAGTATGTGTGAATCTGCTTTGATTCTAATTTCCTTAAAATAAATCCAATTTTTTTTTACGTGTGATGCTGCAGCTTGGATTTAGCTGTCAGCTGCTGTCCTTGCTCAGCTTTTCCATTTCTGCCCTGCACTACTAAGATTTTGAAACTCGTTATTGCAGAGAGGGTGGCATCCAAGTTGGCCCCAATACATTAGCTTGCGGCAAGCAGTAGCTGTTGGCGTGCTTGAATACAATTGCCTCATCCACTGTGGGGAAAACATGGGACGTTAATGAACAAAGTTTGTCTGGAACCTGGGTGCCACCACAGCATCTAAAGCAACCAACATGATGCCCTCCACATGTTGTTGGACTCCAACTGTCATCAGCCCAAACCAACATGGCCAGTGATCAGGAATTATGGGAGTTGTAGTCCAACAACATCTGGAGGGCATCATGTTGGCTGCCCCTCTTCTGAGAACCTGCTTTCAATGTTGTCTGAAGGCAACCACCTTGCTCAAGCTAAGCAGGACTGGATCCAGTGAGCTCACTGGTGGGAGCCCATCTTGGGATCCTTCTGCATTGCATTTATCATGGCTGTTCTATAAATATAATAAATCAATAAAAATCCTAGTTTTGTGTTACTAGGAGAGACTGCACTTATGATTAGACTTTTCCATTTGCTTTCACTCATTTATTGCAGACATGCCCATTTCCTTTTGAAAATTAATATTATGTGTCAACTCTTCAGAGTTCCTACAAAACTCTTATTGTTTTGTCTCCTCCCAAACCCAAAACTATTTCTGTCTTGAGAACAAGTGCCCAAAGATGAAATTCACATATAAGCTGAGGCAGCATTAATAGTTACTTTATAACCTCTTTTCTTATTTATACACTCATTTTTTTCCCTTCAACTCACAAAAAGGGGCTTAGGCAGAAGCGATATGAATTATGAAAACCTTTTCTTTTTGAATGAGATGGTAAAATGCTTCACAGTTCCATGCCAACAGAAGCATTAATGGCTTTTTGGGAAGAAATAAAAGTAAATTCCTTCTGTTCTCAAAAAATACCTGCTGAGCTAGCAGCCTTCCATTAACACTTGACTGAAATAATGCAACTTTTAAAATGTTCAAGTAACTGTCAAGTAGTTAATCCCCAATACTGACTGCAGACCACCTACAGCACATTTCAGTTTTTCTAATACATATTTATCACAAGAGCTTTAATAGTTACAGACAGGGCTGTCACCACCATGACCCAATCAGGCAATTTTCCCTGTTCTTTGAAACCAGTTGCCCTCCAAAGTTATTGGATGCAAGCCTCCCAAATGAAATGGATATGAATAAGAAAATTAACAACAATATAGGTGAGCAAAATAGTATAAGCAAACAACATAGCAGTAAATAACACCTTCTTACTTAGATCAACAGTTAGTAGGTATTCGGGTAATAGGCAATGCAGAATTAACCTTATTGTAAGGATTTTCTGGGGGATCAATAGTAAAGGGCTATGTATTAACAGAGTTCCTATGCTTCAAAGACCTCATGTGATGAACTTCAAAACAGAGCTGAAATGCCACCATTTCTTAAATGGTTGGTTATTGACATGCACTTCTTTAATGAAAAAGATTTTGGTGTACTCTGTGCACTAAAAGCAAGAAAGATGTGATCAGCAAATATATTACTGCAACATTCTAATCATATGCTCATGGCAGACCTTTGAAGAGTCAGGAAGCAGTGCAGCTTCACAGCAACTCAATCATGCAAGGTCACACCTTTATCTTTTGTGAAAGAGATCTGCCCTCCTGTTCTCTCAGTACAAACGCCATGCTTCGAGTGATCATACAGTCACAGAATTGTAGGGTCATCTAGTCCAACCCCCTGCAATACAGGAATCTCAACTAGAACATACATGACAGATGGCCTCCTAACCTCTGCTTAAAACCTCCAAGGAAGGAGAGTCCACCACATTCCAAGGTAGTCCATTCCACTGTCAAACAGCCCTTACTGTCGGAAAGTTCTTCCTGAAGGTATCAGAATCTCTTTTCTTGTGACTTGAAGCTATTGGTTCAGATCCTAGCCTCTGGAGAAGGAGAAAACAAGCTTGCTCCATCTTCCATGTGACAGCCCTTTAGATATCTGAAAATGGCTACCATATCTCCTCTTTACCAGGCTAAATATATTGAATTCCCTCGACTGTTCATCATGAGGCTTGGTTTCCAGACCTTTTATCATCTTGTTTGCCCTCCTCCTGTGCACATGTTCCAGCTTGTCAATATCCTTCTTAAATTGTGCTGCCCAGATCTAGACACAGTACTCCAGGTGTGGTCTGACCAAGGCAGAATAGGTTGGGAATATCATTTCACTTGATCAGGACATTAGACTTCTGATGATGCAGCCTAGAATAGCATTAGCTTTTTTGCTGCTGCATCACAGAATGTTAAGTTGGTATGATGTTACTGTGTTTGACTAGTATATGCAACACATCTGATCAAATCTCACTATAAGCATAAACCCCCCAGTTCCCGGTCTTCCACAAGCCATTATACTTTGGTTCTGATTTCATAAAATGGGATGATTTAGCTGTTTCAAATGAGTTTCATTTTTGAAGAAGCACTGCAAAGCTAATGCTTCTTCAAAGTTCTATGAAGCGTGAAATACATAACATGAATAGAAATTCATAGTGTCATACGCCGGTGGGACAACAGACAGACATAACAAGCTAAAGAGCTTAGAGGAAACTACAGCATGTTGTTGAAACAGGCAGCTCATGTGACACATCATGCAAAAAGAAGAACATAAGACCTAATGCATTACAAGGTCAAGGTGCCAAAAAAAGAAACAAGAAATAAAATTTTGGCTCCAAATAATGTAGCATTATTTGTACAGCTGTATCTCGGTTTTTGAACAGCTTAGTTCTCAAACGTTTTGGCTCCCAAACGCCGCAGACCTGGAAGTGACTGTTCTGGTCTGCGAACTATTTTTGGAAGTCGAATGTCTGATGGGGCTTCCGCAGGTTCTGATTGGCTGCAGGAGCTTGCTTCAGCCAATCAGAAGCCGCACTTTGGTTTCTGAACGTTTTGGAACGTTTTCTCTTGTTCAGTTGCTTTCCTTGGGAAACTCTAAGATTTGAGTGTCTTATAAGCCTGCTACTTATTGTTCAACAAATTATGCATCTTCTAGATAGCACTCTTCTTTAAAACTTCAAATACTTTTAGTAACTTTTTTATCCCACCGTGTGTGGTAATCATAGACACAACTACAAAAATAAAAAGGTACTCTAAGAATCACATAGCAGATCTTTTATAAAGAAGCGAAAACACCCTTATCACATTTCCCGTGTTCTCTGAAGCTTAAACATTCCTCCAAGGGGGTAAAAAAACCACTCACAATTGCTCAAATTGATCTGTATCACATCTGTTATGTGCAATCTTTTAAAAATAAATTCCCTTTACTGACATATTATTTATATTATTGCCCTGCACCAGAAAGTGGTAAAATAATGGCATCAACTTAAATCTGAATTCTACACTAGATATAAAAGACAGACACATAATTGTGTGCCTCAAGCTTGCCAAGAGAAACAAAAATGTTTAAGGGTTGTTTTTTAAAAAAAAAAATAGGTGGATTCTCTGATCTGGTTTTATTATCAATACAGAATACAAAAGCTATATAATTGCATACCTTTTCAAGTTACTTAAACAAAGGGATTACATAACATCACAATAAACTGTTATGTTGCAGGGGGGCTGCTTTATTTTACATGGTTGATCACTGATCAACTGGCTTCCTTGCATTAACCTTCTTTAGCAAAGCATGTTTGCAGATTAGATAACTTTTAAGTCACAGGCACCAGCATTAGTTAAAACTCATTGATCTCACTAAACCAGTTCACTTAATGCTGGTTATGCAAGAATCATAGCTTTAACTAATGCATGCCCATGAAACCTAACTTCTCAGTAGTCGTGCCCGCCCTGTGGATCACCCTCCCATCAGGTATCAAGGAAATAAACATCTATCGGACTTTTACAAGACATCTGAAGGCAGCCCTTTAATGTTTGAAGTTTTTGTGTTTTTTGTGTTTTAATATTTTGTAGGAAGCTGTCCAGAGTGGCTGGAGCAGCCCAGTCAGATGGGCAGCATATAAATAGTAAAACAAACAACTAACTAAAATGTATGGGAAGACCCTGAGCCCATGAATGAAGATAAATGCTAAGCATTATTCATTAGAGGGTTCAAGCCTGTTTACTCAGACTAGGAGTTCCATTGAGACTACTTGGACTTAATCACTAGTATGACTGCAGCCTAAGTCTTATACAAAAGTACATTAGGATAAGACAAGAGGTGCACTTTCCTTCAGTTAAGATTTGACACCAAAGACTGAAGTCCATTGCCGTTTAAAAAAACAGAAGGATCAATTCATACCATCTTGGATATTTGATACTGTAAAACAGAATTAAAAAAAAGGCGCAGCAACTTTCACACCCACCTGCAACATTGAGTTTTTCAGCTGCTCCTGAACTGGGAGTAGCAGTGGAGGTACTATTTGTGGAGTTTGCACCTGTGCCATTGATTACAAGGTTCTCCACTTTAGACTCAAGCTTCCCAATGCGTTGCAGGATGTTGTCTAGTAGGACGGCGAGAGTTTTCTTCAGATCTAAGTTAAGAAAAACAAAGTCAGTTAATCTTACACAGAACAACATTTAACAGGAAATATACCCATTTGGTAAAAGTAACAGGTTTGCAACAAACCTTTCCAACCTTCTAATTTCTTACCTAAATATTTCCACAGATCCTCCTTAACTACCTAAGTGTGTTTCTAAGTCTAAAGGCATTCTACACTTATATGCCGTCAATATGGTTTATTATAATAATGAATATTTACAGACAACAGCTATGTTTTTTTCTAACTACAGAGATATGCACCCTCTTAATCCTCCAAAAGGGACGCGGGTGACACTGTGAGTTAAACCACAGAGCCTAGGACTTGCCGATCAGAAGGTCGGCGGTTCGAATCCCCGTGACGGGATGAGCTCCCGTTGCTCACTCCCTGCTCCTGCCAACCTAGCAGTTCGAAAGCACGCAGTGCTAGTAGATAAATAGGTACCGCTCTGGCGGGAAGGTAAACGGCGTTTCCGTGCACTGCTCTGGTTCGCCAGAAGCGGCTTAGTCATGCTGGCCACATGACCCGGAAGCTGTACGCCGGCTCCCTCGGTCAATAAAGTGAGATGAGCGCACAACCCCAGAGTCGGTCATGACTGGACCTAATGGTCAGGGGTCCCTTTATCTTTACCTTTAATCCCCCAAAAGAGTATTTCAACACAAAGTAAAAGGCTACCTTTTGTGGGGAGGGGATACACTATTTATAACTTGTCAATTTCATCTGCATACCATCTCAACTTATCCATATGTGCAGTTTCTAACTGTTTAAATAGCCGTTGTTCTTAATAGATGGGGTTGCTAAATGTCACCAGTACTGTACTGAACAACAATAATATTTGCCATACTTGAAAAGGTTAACAATCAAACTTTCACTCTCTTGTTTAACACATCTTGTTTATGATGTATGAATAACATCAAATAACTCCTGTTATTTGGTTGATTATTTGAGAACCTTGCACCCAATAACTTCAGACCTTTGGACAACTCCATGTTGTAAGTCAGCATCCATTCTACCACATATTTTGCAGCTTTGTACACTACAGTAGCAGTACAGTTATGAGCACTAGCAGTTCTAGCTCAGACTGACATGAGTACTTCTAGTGGCCTTATTACGTAACTCAACCCACTATTCCTGTACTTCAGTTTCCCTCACTGATCTAGAAATATGTAAGCAACTACCCTATCTTATACACCTCTTAAAGATAACTTATATTATATTAGAGGAGATTGCAGGAACTTTGCTCCACCCTGCTCTTTCATATTCCCATGCCACATGTCATCTGAACTCAGGCTTGTGGTTAAGCTCTTTCTTCAACACAAGCTGTAGCCAAGAGCAAACTTTTGTGCAGTCCCAGTAAGCCATAGTTTGGCTTGCTACATCGTGAAAACCAGAGCATAGCATGAAATACCTGGAGAAGAAAAAGCAGCATTATATTACAACATCTTACAATATTTTTCCAACTGCAAATTAATTCCCAAATTTACCACTAGAAAGTGATTTCGGCTGGAAATTTGACCTGTGGTAATTAAAAAAACTGCATTATTGGGGGAATTTTCTGCTTTTCTTTCTCCTGGAATCGGAAGCACTCTTACGTCCTATCTCAGACTTTTAAAAACCTTCAACAGACACTACTTGACAACTCCCCATCCTTTGAAACCATAAAAATTTGAAATTATTTCCTTGTGGGGAGGGAATTAAAGCAAGTTTTCTGAAGCAGTCTACATATGTGATGACTGAACAATGCAGATGCAGAAGATCTGCAACGGTTATAGCTAACAAGCCAAATGAAGTGAACATTTGGTCCAGGCAAGTTTCTAATCTAGGCAGGTTGCTATTTTTACAAACACCCTCAGGAAATGTACATGGTTCCCTTACGAGTTAGGATCAAGGAATAAAGGCATTGCTTTCAGAACAGCCTTTAGCACCCCATATGCCTTAGTGGATCTTCTTTTAGTGTTAATTTTTTAAAAGGCTCCTTGTGAGGAGGAAAGCAGCACATCATTACCATGCTCTAAATTTGTTCCATTCAAGTGCCAGCCTAGCACAGATTCTGCTTGGTTTGCAATACACAGTAAAATCACAATGCAAGCTACCATAGCCTGGAGGCTGCCACAGACAAACATGAGTTACAGAACAAGGGATACTTGTTACTTCAGCTACAAAGCGATGCAACAGTCAGCTGCCTAGGGGATGGTGGCCTCAACCTTTCAAGCAAATGCATTCACAGAACCACCAGCATCTTATCGGAAAATGAGACAAAGGTATACAAAAGCAGCATGGCACCCTGGCATCTCTGGCACCAGTTCTAAAGAAGGGCTTTCATTCCTAACAGAGGAAGGGGAAGAAGATACCCGAAGCAGTAAATGAATGGCTGTAAGCTCTGACTTGTGTGCATCACAACTCCCCTCTCCTTTGGCAAGATTAACAGACAAACCAAGTTAGATCCCGCAATGATAAGATAGTGATGGGGAAAAAGGACCATTGTAAGTGAAAACAAGGTGAACAACTAATTGGCATCTAGCTTTCCAAAGCGGCAGGTGCCTTCTGGCAAAACAAACAAAAAGGTCAGAAAATGAAAACCAATGTACAGGGAACACACACAGTCACACTGCATTTAAAGGGGCGCTGCACAGATTCACTGCACAAAATTCTCATTGAAGTATAAGATCACAATTAAAACCTAAGTATGTTCCCAACCTGTAAGAGGGAAGAATATTCCTCAATGCACTTTACACATATGAAGTGAATGGCTTGATCTGATAAACAACCAAGACAGCCTTTGCCAGCCTGGTGTCACCCACATGTTTTGGGCTACAACCCCCATCAGGTGCAGCCAGCTCAGCTGTGCTGGCTCAGACTGACTGCAGTTGGAGTCCAAAATATCTGGAGGGCACTAGGTTAGCAAAGACAGATCTGATTCATCACTTTCAATATATCTTGGGATATACGCTTTCTTGGTGCATGATTAAAGGATCACTTATATAGCTGGTGTTTAATTACGTAATATTGTGCTAAAGCTACATATATTTTAGTATTTTATTTGAATATATCTTAGTATTTGATGAAGCAAGCCAGGGTTGGGACACCTTTTATTGTCTGTGCTACCCATAATGTGGAAACTTCTTAAAAACTTACCACACTGCCTTAATTGCAATGAATAATAAAGGTAAAGGTACCCCTGCCTGTACGGGCCAGTCTTGACAGACTCTAGGGTTGTGCGCCCATCTCACTCAAGAGGCCGGGGGCCAGCGCTGTCCGGAGACACTTCCGGGTCACGTGGCCAGCGTGACATCGCTGCTCTGGCAAGCCAGAGCCGCACACGGAAATGCCTTTTACCTTCCCGCTAGTAAGCGGTCCCTATTTATCTACTTGCACCCGGGGGTGCTTTCGAACTGCTAGGTTGGCAGGCGCTGGGACCGAGCAGCGGGAGTGCACCCCGCCGCAGGGATTTCGAACCGCCGACCTTTCGATCGGCAAGCCCTAGGCGCTGAGGCTTTTACCCACAGCGCCACCCGCGTCCCTCACAATGAATAATAGATGCTACAAACACTGAACTAGCGATGGTATTTTTCGGCTCATAATGTTCATCTCAAATATGATGCTCTTGTTGTAGGCCTGAGAGATCTTTTGAGTCAGATTAAATCTTAAGCAGAGACCTTCAGCCCTCTTATCCTGCCTCCTTTCCCCTCCCTCCCATATCTCCACTCACTTACTTCTATGAGAGCGGGAGAACAGAGAAAGGTTTCTGTACCCTTTTCCTGTCTAATGCCCAGTATGATGCTATGGCTGCATGCCAGACAAATAAGCACATGGAAATGCTGTTTCCCAGCACTGCTTGTGTTTGGCTTGCAGCCATAACATTGTACCAGAAAGGGGGGGTATTTCTTCTCCATCATTCATTCCCCTAACGCTGCTCCCCAAGGAAAGTAGAGAGTTTGGTGGTAGGAAGAGGGAGGCAGGTGCTGAGCATATGGGAAAAAGAAACTGGGTTTTGAACCCAGTTATCAAGTCTGGCAAGGATGGTTTCTTACCATCACTACCAGTCTTCTGCTTAGAGAAATTCCACATACTGCATGTAGTTCCATGCTTATTTTTTTCCCAGACTCTTATTCACATTATGCAACAAATGTTAACATTAGTTTCTTAACCTTTCCACAAATGCACACACACCCCATTCAACATTCTCCCCCTCCCCATAAGTACACCTTGTTTCCATTAAAAGGCAGCAAAACAGGTAAAAGGGTTAAGAAACCCTGTGTACTCAATGTTACTTTTATGCTTCAAAATAGAAGATTCAAAGTGTACATTGCATAAAGACAAAGAAAAAGTCTGATGTAATCACGTAACAACACACATTGTACAATCCTTCCCTGAGATTGTTGCCTTATAGAAATCAACCACTGACTTTTTTTAAAAATGAAAAAAGGGATTGCACAGAGAAGAAAAACCTTGCTTCAGAGCTTAGGATCCACCTATTACATGACAGTAACAGCATAAATACTATATTCCCATGGCTCTAATGAATTTCATGCAACATTAGAACATTGGAGGGGATCGTGGAGGATGACATCTTATTTTTTTCTGAATAAAGTCATGGGGCACCTTAAAAGACAAGGAAGGTTTACTGTAACTTTCTCAGGGCTGTGTAACTAACCTAAAATATGCCAGTAGTGGTTTACATGTGGAATTAAGTCGTGTAAAGTGAGTCCACTTTCAAAAGGAATGCATCTCTGATGTTATATGGCAGTTCAGTAAATTTTGCTTGGTTCCCATGCAATTAAGTACTTATGCTGACAGACCTTCCCTTGTTTACTAATGGCTGTATTTTTTCCAGTGAAAAGGTTTGCATGTGATTTATGGAAAACAGGGACACTATTTGGATTATCAGAGCCAATGTCACTTAAAATTAGAGATGTGGGACATCATCACAGTGATATAAACAAGACTATGACCAGTGTAGCAACTATGTACAGAAAAAGCCTTTAGAGAGCTCC